CCCATCTCCTTGTCCCCTGGGGATCCCCTGGACATCCTTTGTCTAATCAGCCATCTGCATATCCCATGAACGCATAGGCCACTATTGGATATCCTTCAAGGTCTTCTTCGAGACAGCGAGGTAAAAATGTGTTTCATTATCTACTTTAATCAAACACTGACCAAATCATTCAGTACCTTTTATTTCCATACATTTCCCAAGCTTGTGCAATCCCTTCCGCTATTCCAATTAATGCGGAATTGCTTGGCAGCTGTCATCAAAGAAACACGTATATTAAAAAAAGTAAGGACCGCTGGGATAGTTGTTTTACAGCGTTCCCATTTCGAGACACCGACGGCCGAGACAAGCAACGCATTTTGAGACTTACAGGTAGCCCAGTAATAAATTATTTACTAAAACTAAATAAGAAAGAGTGGAATGCGCAGTATTAGACCAGATCCTACCTTCGGTGAGCCCTCTGGAATATCTTTATCCATTAATCCAAGAACATAACTAGAATAGCCAGTATAGGTAGTTTAGCAAATAATGATGGAATACTGGGATTAAATTACATTCAAAGCAGCCCATGCGTTCCTATCAAGATTGAAAGATTAAAATGAAATTTTTAGTTTGCTTTCAAAGTTGTTTAGAAGTTTGCAGAAATCATTGGGGTATCCTTTGAATTTTAAATCAAACCTCGATTTGTATATCGATTTCGGCCGATTCAAAAGAAAATGCAAACTTCAAATTTGAAAAAAAAAAAACTGAATTAAATCTTACAACCTTGATAGGAACGCTAGCTTGAGCCGGTTCGATTATGAATGACAACAGAACCCTTGCACTGAAATAACCCTTGCCCTAACAGTTTGTCTTCAATTCAAACTCATGTACAAGAAAGAGTGTCTCAACCTTTATCCGAACGCCATGTTTAAAATGGCTAATTTCTCAGACCAAAAAAAAATTGACCAAATTTTAAGGTATTCAAAATCACACTTCCGAACGACCGTCTTCATGGAGAACTCCTTTTTGTCGCGTTTTTTCACTCACTGACGTTTAATTGGAATATAGCGCTTAAGTCGTTGAAGTTACCTGCCAAGTCCTGGTAATTCAGATCCAAAGTGACAAGCTCCAGCTGCAATAGTATTGATTTCAACTTGTTTGATACTCATCTGTTCATCATTCTTATTCTGGTTTATATCAGCTTGTTGGTCAACATCCAGCATGTAGTCTGACCGAACCAAACCAAGAGATATTGGCTACAAAAATATAAAGGATATCAAGCATAATGAACAAGGGAGAAACGAAAGGTGTTCTATATAATAGGTGCAAAGGCACCATAGAGGTCAATGGTTTGATCTTCAGTGACTTCACAAACTTATTTCAAAGAGTAAGTAAAGCTTGGTTATTGGTAAGCTGCCTGCTAAGAAACACGTTCATGGTTTGAACCTCTGTGATCTCACATACTAGTTTCAAGGAGTAAGTTTGGCTTTGATGGTTAGTGTGCTGCCTTCTCAGCGACAATTAGAGGTCGTCCATAGTTTAATCCTCATTGACCTCCTAAACTTGTTTTTAGGGAGTAAGTGTGGCTTGATTGAGTAGGGTGCTGCCTGCTAAGCAAGAGATTCATGGTTTGATTCTCAGTGACCTCACACACTTGTTTTAAGGAGCAAGTGTGACTTGGTTAGTTAGTGTGCTGCTTGCTAAGCAAGAGGTTTATAATTTAATCCTCAGTGACCTCACAAGAGGCTTTCAATTTAGTTGATAATCAGGAGGGTAAATGCCAAAGGACTAAAGCGTCTATTTAACAAATATACATCAGTTTTTTTTGTGTCTGTCCTCTTATTGACGAGAAATTGCGTCATCACATTGTCAAAGTAGTTTGAATCCACGAGGCGTACAGATTTTTAGAATAACAATTTTTAGTGATCAAAACAATCAAAGGAAAAAGCGCGCGCTCGTTGACGTCAGCTTTATCTGTCTGTCCTCTTATCGTTGATAAAAAAATAACCAATCAGCGCGCGAGAAATTTGTAAGTTATTGTAAAATTTTGTTTTTAAATGCGTCTATATTAATATATGGAAAATATAAGAACGGCATTCAGGTCAAGCCTTGCATGCAGTACCGGAATACAAACCTGAGCTATTCCTTCAATTTTTGTCTGTTCGTAAATATTGAAGATCCGAGCGATAAAATCGTCAGCAGCAATGGTCCTAAATTATGAAGAGTACAAGAACGATATGYCAATAAGGTGATAAATAATAATAATAATGATAATAATAACAATAGTAATAAAAAAGCTTTGTGAAACTAAAATTCTGGTCGAGGTCTGTTTCCGACTTGTCTCCAAACAGTAACTTGGGATCTAAAGTAATTACTCTAAGATTGTTGCAGGAGCAGAATGTTGTTAACAGAGATGCGAGATGCAATTCTAGATTTGTAAAAAGACAAACACTAGATCTAAATGCCGCCACATGAATATGGATACACCTCAGGCAATGCAAGGAATCTTATTTCCGAGAGAATGATTTCTTTTGTCTATTCTTAAGTCTCTGGGTGGACATTGTAAACATTGCCATTGTGATGACAACCATTTTAACAATAGGTCTTGCCATATCGCTGTATGAGATTGTTCAATAGATTTCTGGACGGAAATGTATATTAAGTACTATAATCTTCTAAAACAAATTTTGCCATGGTACGCCTGACTATTGCTTTGTTACATATTTTGAACTTTGTGCAGTTAGATCAGTGTTGCCCAGTTATATATGACACAACTTCAGAGGCAATATTTTCTATTTTTTGTTTATCTGCTTCAACGCACCAAGTCAAAGAATCATCTAAAATGTCGTTCCCTTCTCAACCCTCCATCTGGGACGTCGAAGCCGGTGGTCTTGTGAAAGGTGGAATTAAGCTTCCCACTTTTTTACGAAAATGACAGTATTTTGACTTAGTTTGAGTTTCATTATAGAGAGAAATCAGTTATAAAATAYTTGTTATGAATCTCGCTTTGTGATTGGATTGGAGCTTTAGCTTCCCACTTTTTACCGAGAACGACATTATTTTGACTTAGTTTGAGTTGTCATTATAGAGAAAAATCAGTTATATAAAATGCTTGTTATGAATCTCGCTTTGTGAYTGGATAATTGGGGAGCTTTAGCTTCCCACTTCTTTACGAGAATGACATTATTTTGACTTAGTTTGAGTTTCATTATAAAGAAAAATCAGTTATAGAATACTTGTTATGAATCTCGCTTTGTGATTGGATTGGAGCGCGCATGCTTTATTAGAATTACAGAGCGGATTAATTAACCTGATCCCTTACTTTGAAAAAGTGTTTCTTATCCCCCCCTCGTCAATTTAGAAAGTCCGCTGTCACTCTCCACATCAAGCAAGTGTACTGATGACTGACTATATTTTACGTTCACTTTAAGTTTACCTTGAGGTCTTGAAATTATTAGCTATTATTATAATCATCATCATCATCACCACCATATAATAATAATAATAATAATAATTATTATTATTATTATTATCATTAATTATTATTATTATTATTATTATTATTATCATCATCTTTGAGGCTTTTGCGTTCAGACATGATTAATTAAATGTAAGATTACGGATAAAAAATAATTAAAAAAAACAAAAACAAAAACAAAAACGGACCAGACTTATCAAGAACACTAGTGACTCTGGCCGCCTTTGCCATGACAACCCCACCAGAAAACAGTAGACATGCCACTCATTCATCTCTTCTTTGCGTCTTCCCACGCTTTGTTTGCATACAGTYCTTTGACTAAACGTTGTCGTTTGATCGGCTTCATCCCTACGCGCTTAGACCGTAAAAGGATCATGGGGATAATTACGCGCTTCACACATTTTCCTTATCATTCTGATGAAAGCTATCATAGTTATAGCCGAAACGTCATGTTTTTTAAATATTCTACGCGCTTTATCCGTAATCTTGAATTGCATTTAATGAATTATTTCTATTAATATTATTATTATTATTATCATCATTTTTATTATTATTAAGCACCCTTGGTGTCTCCTCCAAAAAATCATCAGAATTTGTAGAAATGATGAGCGAATTAGGTTTAGAGAAAAAGCAGCAGAATTATATATTTAGGAGCGTAACGAAAATCATCATCAGATCCACTTATTACATTTTTTGTTGTCGTAACAAAGCATGGGATAATCCTGAATTGATAAAGTTTTAGTTTTGTTAATTCTCAAGTGTTCGTAAAGTCATATTCGAGTAGTCAATTGCCCTATTTCACTATGACGTCA